ATAATAGATGCCATCGCTCATCGCCGACCAAGAGCATAAAAAACTTCTGCAATCATTGATTGAATGTTTCGAATTAAAGACTTCAAAAGCTCTATCCTTCGAACCCCACCAAAGTTGACAGAAAAATAGCGTCTTTGAAAAACCACTCGCACAAAATGCCCACTCGAATGTTTGTCGTGCATAAATTGTTCTTCTGCCAAGTTCATCGTCTCCAGATGCACAGTGCAAAAACAACGAACTATTATTAGGAGGGAGTCTATTGACTACTTGAACCTTGTACTTCCGAGCAAAAAAACAAGACGTCGCTTGGAAAACATTGGCAGAAAGGAAGATAATTAGTAACAAATTTTTGATATTAATGCTGGAAATCATTTTTATTGTTAAGAACATTGATTTGTGGTTCATTTGGATGTTATTAGTGTCCTCTTTATAGGTAGTTTTCAAGCTAGAATTGGATTGTTCAAATATTACTATAATATCTTACTAGGTTATGAAAACACATAAAGATATTACATCAATTCAAAATAATTGGTAATAACAATTGTGAGAATAATGTTTATTTTGGATATTTATTTAAACCATTAACATTTATAAAAAGTCTAGCAATTAAAAGCCAGTCAAAGCCTATTTAGGATATATTCCAAGGCATATTCCATGACTATCTATTCCTTGGCGGAGAGGTATATATATATATATATATACTACTAGGTGAGAGCACCGCGCAATGCGCGGTGTCGGTGCCCTGTTTACATATTTGCAAAATGTGTTTTATTTATGCTAGCGTAGTTTGAAGAGTTGATGATACGCTACATGTGACGCGTTAAAGTTGTCCCCATATCATGATCAATATTAGAAGACTGGATGTAAGGGTCACATTAAAGCAGAGCATTGTATAAGGTGAGACGGATTATGAAATAATAGATAATATTGATATGTAAAAAGGTAAATGACCAAAAAATATATTTATTAATGATACAAAACTGATGTTATACAAGCTAGTAATATGTAAATGATAGAATGTTCGTACATGATTATTGTTGGACTCATTGTTGCGATGGATGATACTGATTAGGAAGAGGAGAACACGGTTCAAGATTGGTACACAATGGCATGCGGTGAAGATTTGTTATGGCATGTTGGTTGTATATAGTATTATTAACGTTACATATGCTTTTTTTTTTTTTATTTGCATCAAAATAGTTGTATTAAAATAATATAGAAAGGATTTATTAGCATGTGATAAATGTATAACACAAACTTTAGTTAGCTAACATTAGTGTTTGAATAAGTATAAAAATAAGAGAGGTGCAGTGATGAAGCAGGAATTGATAGAAACATATCATCACCTGAGCAGGTGACAAAGTCTGTTGCCATTATAATAGGAAAGTGTATAATAATGTCTTCTATACAGTTGTCAATAATTGCGCCCCTAGCTTTGCAACACTATTCCAAAGTATATAATATAGGGACCAACAATCGTAAAATTTGATTAATTTATTGATATTTAAGATTTATTTTTACATTTGAATCGACATAGATAAGAACGAATTGAATCATAAGATTTGAATCGTAAATCATATGATCTTTTTCTCGAATTTTCGTCAATGTGGCGGATAATTTAGATAGTCAAAGAGAGATCCAATTTGGGTTAAATTTGCAATTTGGGTGGAGCGGCTAGGAAGATGGAGTAAGTATAAGGGTGATTCTGCAATTTTCAGAACTATTTCATCTAGGGAGGTGGATTTTCGGAAATTACAAATTGACCTCCAATTGGGGGGCATTTCCGGTTTAAGGACAAAAACTAAAAATGGTGTATAATATAGTGACAAAAATTATTGTTTTCTTATGTTTATTATAAATAATATAATAAATTATTGTTTTCTTAAATCGTAAATCGTAAAATTTTATCGTTTTGTTGATATTTAAGATTTATTTTAACATTTGAATCAACTTAGGTATGAATGAATTGAATCGTAATAATTGAATCGTAAATCATAAAATATTAAACTCGGTATTGCGAATTTTCGTAAATGAGTCACACGCGATTATAGCTGAGGAGGAGTTGAAGCAAACTACGTTGGTGGCGGATATTTCGGATATTGCAGACAGATTCACTTTGGGGTTAAATCTGCAATTTGGGTGGAGCGGCTGGGAAAATGGAATAAGTATAGAGGTGATTCTGCAATTTTCAAAACTGTTTCAGCCAAGGAGGTGGATTTCCATAAATTACAGATTAACCCCCACTTTGGGTGCATTTCTGGTTTAAGGACCAAAAATAAAAAATGTATATAATATAGGGACCGAAAATCGTAAAATTTGACCGATTTGTTGATATTTAAGATTTATTTAACATTTGAATCGACATAGATATGAATGGATTGAATCGTAACATTTGAATAGTAAATCATAAGATTTTATGCTCGGTATTGCGAACTTTCATACATGTGGCGGATATTTTGAATATTGAAAGAGAGATCTACTTTGAGGTCAAATTTGCAATTTGAGTGGAGCGGCTAGGAAGATAGAGTAAGTATAGATAGGGGTGATTTTGCAAATTTCGGAGTTTCAGCCAGGGAGGTGAATTTCCGAAAATTGCAAATTGACCTCCACTCGGGGGGCATTTTCGGTGTAAGGACCGATATTAAAAATGGTTTATAATATAGGGACCAAAATAGTAATTATAACATGTTTACTATAAACAACATAATAAATTATTGTTTTCTTAAATCGTAAATCATAAAATTTGATCGTTTTGTCGATATTTAAGATTTATTTTAATATTTGAATCGACTTAGGTATGAATGAATTGAATCATCAGATTTGAATCGTAAATCATAAGATTTTAAACTCGGTGTTGCGAATTTTCGTAAATGAGTCACACACGATTATAGTCGAGGAGTCGAAGCATACTACGTTGGTGGCGAATATTTCAAATATTGCACGAGAGATCCATTTTGGTGTTAAATTTGCTATTTGGGTGGATTGACTGGGAAGATAGAGTAAGTATAGCGGTGATTCTGCAATTTTCAAAACTGTTTCAGTCAAGGAAATGGATTTCTAGAAATTACAAATTGACCCCCACTTGGGGTGCATTTTTTTTTCAGGACCAAAAAAAAAAATGTATGTAATATAGGGACCAAAAATCGTAAAATTTGATCGATTAGTTTATATTTAAGATTTATTGTAACATTTGAATCGACATAGATATGAATGAATTGAATTGTAAGTTTAGAATCGTAAATCATAAGATTGTATGCTCGTTATTGCAAATTTTCGTAAATATGGCGGATATTTTGGACAGTGAAAGAGAGACCCGCTCTTTGGAATCAAATTTGGAATTTGGGTGGAGCGGTTAGGAAGATGGAGTAAGTATAGGGTTGATTCTGCAATCATCACAACTATTTCAGCCAGGGGGTGGATTTTCGGAAATTACAAATTGACCTCCACTTGGGGGCACTTCTAGTTCAAGGACCAAAATTAAAATTTGTATATAATATATTGACCAAATCTGTAATTATCTCAATTTTATTATAAATAATATAATAAATTAAAGTTTTCTTCAATTGTAAATTGTAAAATTTGATCGTTTTGTTGATATTTAAGATTTATTTTAACTTTTGAATCGACATAGGTATGAAGAGATTGCATCATAAGATTTGAATCGTAAATCATAAGATTTTAAACTCGGTATGTGAATTTTCGTAAATGAGTCACACGCGATTATAGCTGAGGAGGACTTGAAGCATACTGCGTTGGTGGCTGATATTTAAGATATTGCAAGAGAGATCCACTATGGGGTTAAATATGCAATTTGGGTGGAGCGGCTGGGAAGATAGAGCAAGTATACGGGTTATTCTGTAAATTTCAAAATTGTTTCGGCCGGGGAGGTGGATTTCCAAAATTACAAATTGACCCCCACTTGGGGTGCATTTCTGGTTAAAGGACCAAAATTAAAAAGAGGGATAATAATATAGGGACCAAAAATCGTAAAATTTGATCGATTTGTTGATATTTAAGATTTATTTTAACATTTAAATCGACATAGATGTGAATGAATTGAATCGTAAGATTTGAATCGTAAATCATACGACGAATTTTCATAAATGTGGCGGATATTTTGGATATTGAAAGAGAGATCCACTTTGAGGTCAAATTTGAAATTTGGGTGGAGCGGTTAGGAAGATTGAGTAAGTATAGGGGTGATTCTATAATTTTCAGAACTGCTTCATCTAGGGAGGTGGATTTTCGGAAATTACCAATTGACCTCCACTTGAGCGCATTTCGAGTTTAAGGACCAAAACCAAAAATGGGATATAATATAGGGACCAAAATAGTAATTAGCCCTTTCTGTGATCAGTTATGATTCCGTACAAGATTGTGGTGCTATACTTTGAATTTGTGGAACTCTTTCGAGCATCTTGCTAACAACTGCTCAATTTTTTAAATTCTTTTTTTTTTTTTTTTTTGCCTAATTTTTCTTATGAGCATTTAATTTAGTTTCGTTTATTATAGAGCTATTATTTTTTAAAACCGTTGCTAGGAATTGTTGTTACTTTCTTCCATTTTTCTCGATGTTGATGCTGAGTTGGTGGTGCTTATAGAAAGAAGATTATTAATTAAAGGGATTTCAATGTGTAGTACGATTGTTAATTTAGTTACTTCAGCAATCTGACGATTGAGTTACCCAATACATCGTTTTCTGGTGCCGACTGCCGACAGCCTCGTTGGTTGTTGCTGTTCCTGTTGTTGTTTCCTTAAGGGATACAAGTATTCAAGTTTTCTATCTTTCTGATGTCTTTCTATTTTCTCAGTTTCGATGGTAATTTGTGGCCTCACCTTGTGTAGTGAATTCAAGTTCCTATTATTGTTTCCTCTTCGAGTAGTGCAGGTATTGGACTTTTTCTATTTTGCGTTCATTTGTCTTCATTGTTGATACACATTTTTCTTCTACCAATGTTTTTCATTTTGTTTAGTCGAACCGGTCCCACCATGCATATTCGATGGTGGCTCCAGCAACCCATACCAACACTTTTGGTGATCTTCCATCTGCACCATGGGTTTTGCCTGCTGAGCGAGAGAGTGTGGTCACTGTGGCGCGTTTCGATTTTTATCGTGAATCGCCTGGTTTTTGTTGTGCCTCGGGGCAGATTTCCCTTGCGGCATCGGTTGTCTGTCCGATTCTTTGGTTTCTTTCCACAGATATTGCGTCGGAGATGGCTGTTGAATTTCGCCGAAGGGTGCGGTCGTCGTACAATGCTGCTTTTGCGTTTACTTCTATTGGAATGACTTTTGACCAAAATTCTTGGTGGGCTAGGGAGGGTATTTATGTATTGAAAGTAACGGGCCAGGTCACTCATTTCTTTAACGCTATTACTGGGGCTGCTGATGTTTCAAAGATTCTTCAATTATTCTTCCTTGACACAGCTGATGATTTGGATGAAAATATTTTGCATTCAAAGGATTTGCGGCTTGATATAATCGCCTTGCTTGTTCAGGCATTGTCACATAATCCGTATAGCATTTTCTTTAAGCATTTGCGTACTTTGGATAATCTGTCAGAAGCTCATATTATTATTAAAACAAGCCCTGCATTAGATCAGAGGAATTACAATCTTCCTCAAGTTGACCAGGTGGCTGCTGTTTGGAGAGATGGTGATGATGGTGGTGCTGGAGCTCAACGCGATATACATGTATATACAGGTGTTGGCCATCGTCGCAATATCAGCTACTACTATGGGTGTTACGATCCATTGCAGTATCTGTTACTCTTTCCATACGGAGAACCAGGCTGGCGTGCCGGAATAGAGAGGCTCCCACCTATCGGCCCGGGTCAACTTGCAAATCCTATGCATCATTGTGCCGGTGAAAATATTATCGCTCCAACGGTTGCTGGGTCAGCCACAGAATTGTTTAGTGTTGAGGAAAGAGGTTTGTATTTATTTCAAATACCAACATGTTTCTTTTTTTTTTCTACTGTATGGTCAGCTAAATTTTTTCCTCTCTTTTGTGTGTAGTGCTGACGACAAACCTAACAAAAAAACACAATGTGTCATGTCGTGAGTATTACTGTTACAAAGCTCAGAGGCGGCCAGGTCGTCGTTCAGTTCTTTTGCACTCTGGTCGGTTGGGGCAACAATATATTATCGATATGTACATTAAATTGGAGACTTCTCGGTTGGATTACTACAGATCTGAACAGTTACAACGTGAGATTCGTACTGAATCCTATTAGGGTGTTGTTGACATCCTGTCTATTGAACGTGATATTCAGTCTTCTGATATTCGTAAGAGGGTGGTTTTGCCGTCTTCATTCATTGGTGGACCTAGGGACATGCGCAGGCGGTACGTGAATGCTATGGCTTTGGTAGAACGCTTTGGGAAGCCCGATATTTTTTTAACTATGACCTGCAATCCCGCTTGGAAAGAAATTCAAGACAATTTGCTTCCTGGGCAAAAACCTCATGATAGACCAGATTTAATAGCCCGTGTTTTCAGGAGTAAGCTGGAGGAGCTGAAGCATGACATTGTAGTACGCGGGTTGTTTGGCAAGGTCGCAGCATACGTGTACACTGTCGAGTCTCAAAAGCGCGGCTTGCCTCACTGTCACTGGGTCATTATACTGGATGCTCATCACAAAATGACCTCCGCAGCTGCATATGACAAATTTATCTCCGCAGAATTGCCTGACATTTCTCATCCATTTTTGCGTGCTTATGTTGTTAAGCATATGATGCACGGTCCTTGTGGTGCCTCAAATCCAGGTAACTCGTGCATGCGTGATGGAAAGTCCAAGAATCATTATCCCGTGCACGGTAAAAATTCTTACGTTAATTATAGAAGAAGGGATGATGGCACAGCTGTAGTTGTTCGCAACGTGCGTCTTGATAATCGATATGTTGTACCTTATTGTCCTTTGTTACTAGCCAAGTTTGATTGCCATATAAATGTCGAGATATGTGCTGATATCAAGTTGGTTAAATATTTGTACAAGTATATTCATAAAGGTCATGATAGAGTATCGTACAACGTTGTTCCAGCTGTTCCATTGAACAAGGGTTTTGATGAGATACAATCATACCAGGATGGTAGATGGATTTGCGCCCCAGAGGCATATTGGCGAATGTATTCATTTGTAATGAGTGAGGCACATCCACCTATCATAGTGTTACCCTTGCACTTGCCAAATCATCAGCCGCTACGGTTTGGAGCCAATCAATCGTTGGAGCAGATTTTAGCTAATCCGTTATGTACTAAAACAATGCTGACAGAATTTTTTGCAATGAACCGTGATGATGCCGATGCAATTCGACTTCATCTCCTCTATAAAGAGTTCCCGGAGTATTTTGTTTGGGAAGGTGTTAAACGAAAATGGAAGTTGCGAAAAAGGCAAACAGTTGTTGGGAGGCTCTGCACTGTTAATCCACAGGGAAGGTGAACGATATTTTGAGCGTTTGCTACTTGCCAACGTTAGGTGTCCGGTATCCTTTGATGATCTTTTATCTGTAGACGGCCAACAGTGTAGCACCTTCCGAGAGTCCGCTATTCGTAGAGTATGTTGATAATTGTATGGCAGAGGCTGTTTTATTTCATGTCCCTTACTGTTAACGTATCCTGTTTGCGTTACTTCTTGTATACGGCACTACTTCCGATACGCAACTCTTGTGGGATAAGTACTACTTCTCATTATCTGAAGATTTTAGTCATGATACATCACTGGGAGAGAAAGATGTTTTGCTGAAAACAGTTACTGCAATAGATCTTATTCTTATATCCATGGACAAGTCTATATCTGATTATGCAATTAAATTTCCCTTTGGGTATTTACCTTCTACTGACAGATTGAGTGCAGATTATAGGCATGAACGATCAATAATTGTTTCAGATGAGGATATTGTTTCTATGACACAACTCAATGAGGGTCAACAACAAATTTTTGACAAGATTGTGCGTTTGATTGATGCGCGTAGGCAAGGTCTTTTTTTTTTGGACGGTCCAGGTGGAACAGGTAAAACATTTCTGTACCGAGCCTTGCTTGCATACGTTCGGTCCCGGGGTAATATTGCTCTTGCCGTTGCAACCTCTGGAGTGGCCGCATCTCTTCTTCCCGGTGGCCGTACGGCACATTCTAGATGCAACCTTCCATTTGATATAGACGACAAGCCAATCGGTAAGGTGAGTAAACAAAGCAGCCTTGGTAAAATGATTGTAGAGGCAAGATTAATAATATGGGACGAGGCGACAATGGCAAACCGTCATTCTGTTGAGTCGTTGGATGCTGTATTGCGTGATTTATGTGATGCATCACTTCCATTTGGCGGAAAGCTTGTTTTACTTGGCGGCGATTTTCTCCAGACTTTACCGGTGGTTGTTCGTGGTTCAAGGGAGTCGACGGTTGCAGCATGTATAACGAGTTCTCATATTTGGTGCAACGTAACACGCCTAGAACTTTCTGAAAATATGCGCGCTAGACAGGATCCCGATTTTATTGTTTTTCTGTTGCGCGTTAGCGATGGCGTTGAACCTGTTATATCTGACGACAACATACATATTCCAAATGAGATGCTAATTCCTTTTGTGGATTCTGAAGTTTCTTTTGGCTGCCTTGCCGACAGCGTCTATCCTTCATTTGATACTCTTTCAGCAAATCCTTATGCATTGGTGAATAGGGCAATTCTCACTCCAAAAAAGAATCTGTTGACTATATTAATGATCTATGAATAGATAGATTCACAGGACAAGTTAAAGAGTATATTAGTTTCAATAAAACCACCGACGAAATGCAACAGGCCGAGTATGAGGATTATCTCAACGGTGTCTCGGCGAGTGGGTTACCTCCACATGTGTTGCGCTTGAAAGAAAATTGCCCGATTATGCTATTAAGAAATTTGGATCCAGTTCGAGGCTTGTGCAACGGGACAAGGCTCATCTGCCGTCAGTTGGGTGATAATTTCATTAAGGCTGAAATTGCAACTGGAGATTTCAAGGGGGACCATGTTTTCATTCCACTGCACGTATACCTCTTGAATCTTCATCTAAACTAGAGTGTCCTATCCCATTTAGGCGGCTGCAAATCCCGGTTCGTCTTTGCTTTGCTATGACGATTAATAAATCACAGGGGCAAACTTTAGGGTATGTGGGAATATATCTACGTGAGCCAGTATTTTCTCACGGTCAGTTATACGTTGCTTTGTCAAGGGCCAAATCTGCTGAATGCATTAAGATTCTAATTGAGCCATCCACAAAGAAAGAAGTTCCTCTTGATTGTACAAAAAATATTGTTTACGAAGAAATATTTGCTTCGACAGGAGGTACGTCTATTGAATTTATGATCAACTTTATTTTCGGTTATGTACATATATATTCTTTTAAATATGTGTAACTTTTGTATTATGGCAACATATTGTTCTTCTTTTTAGGAAATCAGCAGGCTTGAACACAATTTGCAGCTGCCTTGTTCCTACTGTTTTGTTTCGATTTTTTTTGTTGATATGTTTTTTTGAGTGCTGCTGCAATGACGTTTAGGTACGCGTTCGATCTCGCATAAGCTTCACTACACTGAACTTGTATATATATTTATTTTCATTTGTTCTTGCTGCCAAATTTCCTAGATATGCTGCTGCGTATGAGAAATCAGTTCAAATTTTGCTTGCGTACCGTAGGGTTCTTTTTGTGAAAATCATTGCGGTAGAAGTTCGATAGGCCTATATATACTACTTTGCAGTCGCTTGATGCAGGTCCGAGATAAACGTATTTAACTATTTCTTGTACAAATTATTCAAAATTCTGAACGCTTACATCTCATATTTCATTTTTCTTGTAGGGCCTTTTTTGGGTTCGATTCTTGCCATTTTTATCTGAATTCTTTGCACACTCCAACGCTGATGCTGCATACTTCCTTAACATTAGAACACTCACAGTAGGTAGTAATACCTTGACTTCAATCTCACTAATGAAAATTATCGTTTATACAAAGCAATGTACTTGTAGTTGTCTCCTTATTACTTTGTTTCGTAGAAAACAAAATATACCGTACCGGTTTATGTTTTCACTTATTCGGAACTTTAAATTGTCGATGTCAGGTTAGTCGCTTAAAAATTACATGTCAACATATATGAGTAAAAGGTATTATCACAATTTATCTGGTTTTCAACTTGTCCTGTTTTCTGCAGGAGATTGATTGACAATTCTTGTCGCCGTTTATGAGTTTTCTATTCCGGCGCACTGAAAGAAACAAGAGCGAACAATTTATCACTTTCTGTGGTGTATTGCACAACAAACATCAAAATCGAGAATTTTTATCTCCTACCTTATGACTATCGAAATGTATTACTTACATTTTTGTTATTTCACCATTTCCCAATAACACTACTGTATATTTCCCAATAATATAGACTATAAATTAAGATAACAACATTTATATAAAAAAACTCAAATTACAAAAACTTCCCTGAACTTTGGCTAAATAGCAAAAAACATTCCCACCTATCCGTAATCACCAAAATCCCCCATTGTTTTACAGTTGACTGAGTTTTTTTTTTTACAAAAAACGTGTGCAGTCTATTATACCTATTGTTAAATAGGTGACGAAAACAAAATCTGAAATTGTGTTGGGTCTATTCCCTGAAAAAAAGAAAAAAGAAAAAAAAGGATCCGTGAAAAATCACATTGTAAGAGGTTTGTGTAAGACGGGAACCAACTACAGGGGGTTTTTGATTGTTACGGATACGCGGGGGTGTCTTTCGTTATTTAGACTAAATTCATCCGCCAATACCTCTTTAAATAATAATAACTTTATGATAGTTTATATGAGTACACTGCAAATACTATCCCTGTGTTATCTCGAAATAGCGGAAACCCCCCTGTGATAAATAAACTAGCAAAAACCCCCCTGTAAAATTTAGTAAAAGGCAAAATCCCCTCTAACTGATTTTTTAGACTTGAAATGACAAAATTGTCCCTCAAAATGTATTTATATATGAAAGAATTTATGGTCCTGAATTCGTTTAATACAGAGATGTTATCTGAAGTGTTATGGCACTTGAGAAAACATGCAGCAAAAATATAAAGATAAAAGGACAATACTCAGATTTAAAAATGTTCACAAGTAAAGACTTGTGAACTTGCCCTTTACAGGACGGAAAAATATATTAAAATAGTATTCCAAGAATACAAACAGAAGAGGTGCGAAAACTTCTTCCTTATGAATGAATCATTCTCATGATCATTCTTACATTCAAATCTAGATACAAAAAGAGAAATATTAAAAATTCTAGATTTCAAAGAATGTACTCGTGAGGAGTACGTAAAGAACTTATGAATGAATCACTATCTTGATCATTCTTACAACCAAGTCTAGAAACATATATACTAAACAATCTAGACTACGAAGAATGTACTTATGAGAAGTACGTAAAGAATGTACTCATGAGGAGTACGTAAAGATTGTACTCATGAGGTGTACAACCAACCGATTCTAAAAACACACTAAAACACTCATGTAATCTTTTCAGCTCTCGGTGTTTATTTCGTAGAATCCGTCAATTTCCTTGAGTATTGAAATCGGTATTTATAGACATTTCAAGCTTCCACTCCTCAGCCCATGATCTGCAAGAAAACCAACTACAAGAGCACTCAAGAACATGGGTTAGTGGGTTAGTTAAGAAGTTAGAATAATATCCACAATTAAACCCACTAATCACTACTTAGCCCACTAAGCATTATACTTAGCCCACTAAGCGCTACTTGTTCCATAACTAAAATTTAGTTAGAAAATAAGAAAGTTAAAAACAATATGTGGAAATAATCCACGTGTTTCAAACTCCCCCTTTTTAACTTTCTGATCAAAACTAAATTTTAGCTTAACTCCCCCTGAGTCATTGCTTGAACTCCCCCTGAATATGATAACCAATATAGCAAATAACAAAATAGTGCAATCCAAAGTCTCCTCAGTATCAGCTGCTGTTCCTCCATCACTAGTACTGGATCCACTACTTTCCTTTGCTCCTTCAGCTTCACCTTGCTTCAACTTCATGACCAGCTTGTTCTCCCCCTTTTTGATCAGAAAGAGCATGCACTGATGATAGGTGATCTGAACTAGGGAGTGAGTAAGCTGTTTTAACAAAGAAAAAATCTCGAGAAACAGAAATAAGGATGTCAGGAGTGTTGTCAACATGAGGAGCAACACCTTCAGTACTAAGATTATTTTGATCTGATTCAGTTGAGAGAAAATTATCTCCATTCCAGGGAAGATCTTGGACATGAGGAGCTTTTAGAAAAATTTGAGAAACAGTGATCATGCCAAGTGGAGTGTCAAGATATTCTGATTCAGCTTGACTCAAATTTAGAGAAAGCAGAATGAAGTAGATGAGAGAGGGATTTAAAACGATTGCCAGAAAGAGTCTTACAAACTTCAGTAAAATCACCATAATTATCCTCATCAATCACAGTAGAAGTTTGTAAATGAGCATTGATAATTTTGGGAGAGAAAGAGAAAATGGAATTTCGCACATAAACTTTGCCCAAGTTTGGAGAATTTTTCTTTAAAAAAAGTTTTGTAAATTGGCATAAAATTCCTTCAACAGAGGGATCATAAGGACAAGCAACCTCAACTAGACTAAGGATTTTTCTTTGATCAAGAAAAGCAGTGATCCTATGTCTATCAAACTCATCTTTGGAAATTTTCTTTTCCTCAATGAATTGGCAATTCATGATTTGAGGACTCAAATTTGAATCAGATTCAAAATAATAGGTAGGACTGAAGTCATTATTTACCTCAAAAAGGAGTTGACAGATCCTTCCCATCCAAGTCTGGTTCTTCTTTCTTCTGAGGATTCCTCATCTTCTGAGTCTTCAAGCATATAGGAATATCCTTGATCTTGAGATCTGGAATTCCTCTTATGGCATTGTACTTGTTGAGCAGCTTCAGATTTTTGAAGTTTGTGTGCCCTAGTTTCTGGTGCCATAGCTCTACTTCACTTACTCTTGAGCTCTTGCATGAGATGGTATCACCTGTTTGATAACAATTATCCATTGACCTGAAACCCGTCAGTACACAACGATTTTGATTATCAAACACAGAACAACAGTATTTATCAAATTGAACACGTAGATCATCATCACACAATTGACTAATACTGATGAGATTTGACCCCAATCCTTCAACATGTAAGACATTTGAAAGTTTTGGAAGTCCCTCAATACTGAGTGTTCCACGTCCAACCACTTTGCCTTTAGCTCCTCCTCCATAGGTTACACGTCCTCCATTGAGTGTATGGTAGTTTGATAGAAATTCTTTAGTTTCAGTCATGTGCCTAGAGCATCCACTATCAAAGTACCATGAACCTGAAATGTTAGAATTTAAAGAAGTGTATACTGCTTTGCACATAAGCTTACATTTGGGAGTCCATATTCTACACTCCTTTTTGGTAAATTCTACCTTTTTCTTTGAGGTGTTCCCCGGAGTGATGTGACTCATCCTGTACAACATTTTGTCACTACTGAGTTTTTCACAAAATGGACGAAGATGTCCTGGTGAGAAATAGTAATGACAAATGTATCCCCTTATTCTGGACCCTGGAGTGGTGACTATGGAATTCCAACATTCTTTTCCAGTTGAACCCTTCTCTTTCACAAAGACAATTTCCTTCTTCTTTACTGGCTTGTGTTTCTTCACTTGTTTTTTGAACCCTAGACCTTCATTTTTGTTGTACTTCTCCAGTGACACAATCTCTTCGAGTTTTGTTGTGCCGGTATTTATCCTCTTGATTGCTAGAGTTGATTCTTTGAGTTCATCTTTCACCTTTGCCAGTTCAAGATCCTTCTTGGTGATACCAACCTCCAAATGTGTGATTGTTTCTTTAAGGGAAGAATTTTCCTTGTTGGCTGCATCTAAAGCTTGAGTCTTCTTCTCCAAGTCAATAACCAATTTCTTACACATTTCTTCCTCATCACTAACTGCTTCGTTACTGGATTCTGCTGCATTCAAAGAAATAGAGTTTAAACATGTATAATGATCAGTATTTAACTCAGAAACTTCAGTTACTGAAAGTGTTTCAGAAAGTGTTGCAGCATCTAGAGAAACTCCTTATGATTCTGTTTCAGAAGCATTTCCAGTGATATATCTGACAGAAAGAGCTTGTTTAGTGGATTGCTGTTCCTCTGTCTGTTCTGGTTGCTCTTCCTCCTCATCACTGACAGCACAAATCAAACTCATTCCTCTTATTCTCAAGGTATTTGCACATTCATTAGCATAATGTCCAAATCCCGAACAGGCCCTGGATTTAATATGATCCAAGTTAGGTGGGGTTCAGAATTTGAACGAATAAATGAAGAATTTTTTAAAGTGTTTTCAGAAGATGTTTGAGGAAATGTTCTCTGTGGAATAGATCTGTTCCGGGGCTGAGTTTGTCGATTTTGTGGAGAGCCATCTGGAAATAACTGTCTGGGCTTGATTCCACTTCGTCTGTATGCCCTATTGAATTTCTGAATCTGAAAGGCCACATTGTTGAGACATTCCTCTGCATCATCATCATATTCCGTAGCAACTTCTTCCTTTTCTAGTTCTGCTTGGAGTGCACTTGAGATGGCCTTTCCTTTCTCCTTTCTCTGATCTTCAAAGTTCATCTCTCTAGACTTTAGACTACCAATTAAGTCGTCCAGCCGTAGAGATGATGTGTCGTTGGCCTCCTCAATAGCAGTAACCGTCATGCTGAATCTTTCTGGAAGAGTTCTCAATACCTTATTCACCAGTGTCTCGTTGCTCAAAGGACCACCTAAGGATTGAAATTCATTAGCTAAATCAATCAATTTCTCATTGTACTGAGAAATTGTTTCAGTTTCTTCCATTCTCAGTCTCTCAAATTTGGAGGAGAGTAATCTGAGCTTAGTTCTTCTGACACTGTCTGATCCTTCACAATGTAGCTGAAGAACTTCCCAAGCATCATTCGCAGAAGTGCACACTGAGATCAATTTAAACATTGTTAAATCTACTGAATTAAAAATTGCATTTAACGCCTTTGAGTTTTGGTTAGCATTTGATAGATCGTCTGGTGTCCACCGTAATTCTGGTGTTGGAAACACATCCCCATCCGCATATGTGATAGTTTGTGGCTTCCATCCAGTGAGAATAGATCTCCAGGCTCTCTCATCAATGGCTTTGATGTACGCCCTCATCTTGACTTTCCAGTAGGTGTAGTTTGTGCCATTAAGTACAGGAGGTCGCATAGAAGCAGTCATCTGAGTATCCATCACGAATTCGTTTCTGTAAAAGAAATAGGAACAAACACTTAGTATACGTCAAGTGTTGGCTCTTGATGCCAATTGAAAGAATTTATGGTCCTGAATTCGTTTAATACAGAGATGTTATCTGAAGTGTTATGACACTTGAGAAAACATGCAGCGGAAATATAAAGATAAAAAGACAATACTCAGATTTAAAAATGTTCACAAGTAAAGACTTGTGAACTTGCCCTTTACAGGACGGAAAAATATATTAAAATAGTATTCCAAGAATACAAACAGAAGATGTGCGAAAACTTCTTCCTTATGAATGAATCATTCTCATGATCATTCTTACATTCAAATCTAGATACAAAAAGAGAAATATTAAAAATTCTAGATTTCAAAGAATGTACTCGTGAGGAGTACGTAAAGAACTTATGAATGAATCACTATCTTGATCATTCTTACAACCAAGTCTAGAAACATATATACTAAACAATCTAGACTACAAAGAATGTACTTATGAGAAGTACGTAAAGAATGTACTCATGAGGAGTACGTAAAGATTGTACTCATGAGGTGTACAACCAACCGATTCTAAAAACACACTAAAACACTCATGTAATCTTTTCAGCTCTCGGTGTTTATTTCGTAGAATCCGTCAATTTCCTTGAGTATTGAAATCGGTATTTATAGACATTTCAAGCTTCCACTCCTCAGCCCATGATCTGCAAGAAAACCAACTACAAGAGCACTCAAGAACATGGGTTAGTGGGTTAGTTAAGAAGTTAGAATAATATCCACAACTAACCCACTAAGCACTACTTAGCCCACTAAGCATTATACTTAGCCCACTAAGCACTATACTTAACACACTAAGCACTACTTGTTCCATAACTAAAATTTAGTTAGAAAATAAGAAAGTTAAAAACAATATGTGGAAATAATCCACGTGTTTCAATATATATACATATTATATGTATATTTATTCTTTTTAATTTGTTTGTTTAGAAATTAAAAAAAATAGTAAACAACTAAATTGATTATTTTTTAAATAAAATAATTAAAATATTTATAAAATATAAGAATTTATTAATTGCAAGACTCCAGGGGTATTTGTATCTTTTTATATCAAGTCAACCCTCAAATAGTTCCATAGGTGAGTTTTTGCTATTTAAATAATTTCACAGGGGAGGTTTTTGCTAGTTTATTTATACAGGGGGTTTTTGCTATTTCGAGATTATACAGGGCTAGGTTTTGCAGTTTACTCTAGTTTATATACATGGTGAATGGATCCATTAATCCCGCCGAATCAGTGATTTGGTACATACTGCCCGGCCGAAGGATTGATCTTCGGCCCGGGTAGAAATCCGGCAATATTAGGTATGCGTATCCGGCCCATGGCGGTGGGTTCCTCTAATCCAGCATTTATTAAGCCCAAGTGCATACCTGCTATTACTAAACTGCCCTCTTTATTTTCACGTGATTATTATAGTACCATGTATAAATATAATATCTCTTCCACAATAAATCGTACTTTTCGTAGGTTCCCAAAATTTGAAAATTTCAGATCGATTTCACAGATTGCTTCAAACACATCGGAGTCAAGTTGAAGAATTTCAGGTACAAGCTATTTCAACTATTGTCAGGTGTATAATATAATAATAAAAAGGGCTTGCAAGGGGTGGTAATGTAATTATCCGAAAATACTAGGGCATATTTTATAACTAAAGGAAAATGGGAGAAAAGAATACGTGCAGCAAGCAATATTTTAAAAATTGACATGCATATAATATAATAATAAAAAGGGCTTGCAAGGGGTGGAAATCTAATTATCCAAAAATATTAGGTCTGATTTTATAAGTAAAGGAAAATGCGAGGAAAGAGTGAGGGCAACAAGCAATATTTTAAAAATTTACATGTGCATAATATAATAATGAAAGAGGCTCGCAAGCAGTGGAAATGTAATTATTTGAAAATATTAGGGTTGATTATATAATTAAAGGAAAATGGGAGGAAAAAATGGGTGCAACAAGCAATACTTAAAAATTACTAGGGGCTAATATAATAATAAAAAGGGCTTGCAAGGGGTGAAAATGTAATTATCTGAAAATGTTAGGGCTGATTTTATAATTAAAGGAAAATGGGAGGAAAGAATGGGTGCAGCAAGCAATATTTAAAAAATCAGTGGGTGCTAATATAATAATAAAAAGGGCTTATCAGGGGTGGAAATTTAATTATCCAAAAATGTTAGGGCTGATTTAATAATAAAAGAAAATGGGAGGAAAGAATGCGTGCAACAAGCAATATTTTAAAAATCGACATCTGTATAATATAATAATAAAAAGGGCTTGCAAGGGGTGGATGTGTAATTATCTGAAAATATTAGGGCTGATTTTATAATTAAAGGAAAATGGGAGGAAAGAATGGTTGCAGCAAGCAATATTTTAAAAATTACTGGGATAATATAATAATAAAAATTGCTTATTAAGAGTGGAAATGTAATAATCTAAAAATGGTAGGGCTTATTTATAATTAAAGGAAAATAGGAGGAAGGAATGGGTGCAACAAGAAATATTTTAAAAATTGATAGGTGTATAATACAATAATAAAAAATTTCTTGCAAGCGGTGGTAATGTGATTATCCAAAAATGTTAGGGGTGATTTTATAATTAAAGAAAAATGGGAGAAGCAATACTTTAAAAATTACTGCGGGATAATATAATAATAAAAAAGGACTTATCAGGGTGGAAGTATAATTACCTGAAAATGTTAGGGCTGATTTTATAATTAACGAAAATGGGCACTAGTATTTATATATATATCTAGAGAGAGAGAGAGAGAGAGAGAGAGAGAGAGAGATTTTGGTTCCTTTCATCTCCTTTCTCCTGTTTTCGTGCAGATCTCTCCGTACTCGAATCTATTCAATTTCATTTGATTTCTCTTCCTCCGATTTCAGGAATCAGTCAACCGAGTCGAGAATGAATGTGCCCTAGTTTTACTTTGTTAGTTGTTAATCAGAAGAAGAAGAAGAAGTGGTGGTTGCTGGTTTATGAGTTGAAACGTTTGTTGATTGATTGAACATGATATGAATTGGAGATGAAATCTCTATACCCGTAGAAAGGTACCTTCTTTCGCTTTCGATTTTGTTTTTGTTTTTATTTAATTTAAATTCTTTGTTGAAATTCGTTGTTTGTTGATCTGTTGATTCGTCTGGTGGACCTGTTGAAACACAGTCTGAGATGGATTTAATTTTATGTTTCTTTAGGGTTTGTTTTTTTATATATATACATATACTGGTTTTTGGATGTATATTACAAATCTAGGGCTATTGAGATGAAAATAATTAGTATTTTTTGCTTTGATTATTTTCTTCTGATTCCAAATATTCCTCAGATTCCTCGGTGCAGGTGTTTTTCTTTCGATTGTTTCGATTTATGCAAATAACGTTGTTATCTGGGGAGAAATGGAAGACTTGGGCGCCGCGCAAGTTGTTTCTCCTACAGTCATCCACCAATCAATGGTCGGAAGATTTCATGATTCGCGAGATGTGAGCTTGGAAGCTAACGATGAGGTGGAGTTAGAGAGAGAAGTTGTGAAAACTTCGGAAGTTGAAGTTCCCACATCGACTTTCTTGGATTTGGATTTGGAGCCGTGTCCAATAAAAAACGGGGAAGAGACACTTATGGAGATATTAGGAGAGAATGGCGAATTGAATATTATTTCGTCCAACACCAATGATTCTGGTAATGCAAACGATGAATGTGCGGATCAGATTAACTTGAGCGTAACTGAAGCATCAGAAGCAAGTCAGGGATATGTAGCTGACTGTGATTTGCAAGATGTGAGCAAGGAGACCAATGATGAGATAAAATCGGAGAGAGAAGTGGTGGAAAATGCAGAACATGAAATTCCTGCATCAACATCATCGGATTTGGAATTGGAGCCGCATCCAATTAATAACAAGGAAGATAAAGTTGTTGAAGAAGCACTTCCTGTTCATGACAGTTCGATGAGGAGTTACACCAAAGAGGCAAGCTCGGGATCTGACTCTACACTTGACACGTGTCCAGCTGTTCTTGCAGAGAAAGAACCAACTCCTCAATTGGGTGAACCCCATGCTGAAACTAAAGTTTCAAGTGAGAAAGCCAAAGCTGCAGATAGCCCACCTGAAACTTTTGATGTGAAATCCTGCAGCCCACCTGAAAATTTTGACGTGAAATCGTGCAGCCCACCTGAAACTTTAGACGTGAAATCGGAACCTGGAGATCATGTTCATAACGTTTCTACCATAAACAGCGTAGAAACGAATGGTAGTGTGACTCTCGCATGCAGAACAGAGGTTTCGGATAAATTTGATGTTGAGGAAGGTGCAGCTAACATTGTGTCAGACAAAAGAGACGTTGAAGACATGGTAGATCAATTGTATGGTGCTGTAGGAAATAGTAATGATAACTTGTCCTTGCAAGAAAATGAGGAAAGTGAAAATTCTTCCAGCAACAACATATCCGTCGCTTCAATAGGTGGTTCCTTGATCGACGGAGAAGCAGCAATTATTAAGACGAAGCCGAAGCCATTCAACTTTTTGGTCAGGGTACCAAGATTTGATGATGAAAGCCTTCGAGAACAAATCAGGCTTGCAAAGCTACATGTTGATGAAAAGACAAAACTGAGGGAAGCTGTACAAGTCCAAATACAGGAAAAAAGAGTAAGAAACTGAACTATTTAACTATTCTTTTGTTTGATTTGAAGGATAAAGCAAAAACTTCATTGGTCTTTTTACCACTTTGCAGGCCAACACTCAGATTCATGGGATCGATTATGAATACGCCAAGGGTGAAGCTAGAAGTGCACGGAAGTTGGTGAGATCGAAACGCGTGGAAATAGATTCTCTTCAGGCTGTGATTAACAAAGCCAAGAATGCGTTATCTATTGAGGATATTGATAGCCAGGTAAGCATTCCCCTGCCCTCTGTGTATATACACTTGACATGCATGTCTGAGCATGTGGTTTTCTATTTTCTCTTGCAGTACAAATTATTTGTTCTCTTAAATAATTAAATCGTCCCTCTCGCAGATGTACAATATGGAACGTATGATTCAGCATGAGACTCTTCCCTTGAAAGAAGAAAAGCAGCTCATTCGTGAAATCAAGCAACTGAAGCAAATTCGCGAACAATTGTCTTCTAATATTGGTAGCCAAGATGAAATCAACCAGGCACTTGAACAGAGGGAGGAGGTTGAAGAGCGTTTAAAGGTGTGCAAACCTCATTACTTATGAAACTGTTAAGGTCTATGTAAAGTTAAATTCGAATGGAAATATAATATGGTGAAAAAGCACGTAATTTGTTCGAGTTTTTAATATGGGCTTGGCATGTACAGATTCTAAGGAAGGAGCTTGATGTGCTTAAAGGGAGAGTCTTAAAAGCTGAGGCGGTTGCTACGGAAGCGGAAAAGAAATATGACGATGAAAATAAAAAGGTTAGGGAACTTCAGACTCAGTTTAGAGCTGCAAATGATGTGCGCCAAGAAGCATACGCTCAGTGGCAAGATTTGAGAAAAGAACTTTCGGAGAAGGTAATGTATTTCTCAATGTACCCTTGCTTACTTATTTTATTACGAGAAAGGCTCGTGTGCATTTTATAAGAGATATCTTAAATCTCTTATAATTCGTGCTAAGAGTCTACGCAATAATCATCATTCTTGGGTGCTTTTTTTTGTTAATATTTATTTTCTTCGTGATGTTACAGTACCAGTTATCACATGCCCTTGATAGCATAAAAACATTTCTCTTGATTTGTGAACTGTGATAAAGTGACTAGCTTAATTTGAACGATGATATGGCAGACCAAACACTTTTTCAAGTACAAGGACAGTGCAGCTCTTGCAAATAATTATGCATTTACCAGGGATAGGGAGGCTCTTTACCGTATGTGCTTTAATAATGTATGTTTTATATTTGGTCTTTCTGGTTTTTGATGGTTAAGTCAAACCTCTTGGGTTTAACGAATTTATCTCAATTCCATAGGTGGAAAATTTCATGGAACTGTGGAACACAAGCGAGGAGTTTCGCACAGATTACGTTAAATTCAATGCAAGGAGTTACGTAAGGAGATTCGGTACTTTAGACGGGCGCGCACTTGGCCCCGATGAGGAGCCTCCTATACTACCGAGTTATGTTAATGACAGAGTTAAGATGGTTCCGACTCCAGTCAAGGTTGATGTTCTTACATCACAAACTCCAACTCTAGAGCTAAAGCAAGAGCCAACGGTCGAAAATGTGACCTCAGAGGTTAAAACTGTGAAGAAAATGACGGAACTTAAGAATCAAGAAGTGACGAATAAGGGACTTGCTATACATATACGCTCGAATGGCTTGGACACCGTTTCTGTTAAGGAGATTGCTGATGAGGTGCAAGAGGAGCCAAAGAAATCAAAGGAGGAGATTGAGTCGATAAGGAAAGTAGAGGAAAGGAGAAAGGAGGAGGTTGAAGCTAAGTTGAAAGAGGAACAAAGGTTGGAGGCACTAGCCAAGGCTAACGAGGCACGTGAGAGGAAGAAACGACAAGCGGAAAAGTTACAGATGAGAGCAGAACTCAAGACACAGAAGGAAGCAGAACTGAAAGAAAAGGTGAAACTACAATTTTTTAATTTTTTTTCTTTATTTTCTTTAATTGCGTAAATGGTTACATTAAATTAAGAATCGAAACGATGCAGGAGAGGGAGAAGAGGCAGAGAAAGAAGGAAAGAAAGAAGGCTGCTTCAGACGTGAACGACATAGACACAGCTCCAAGCTCTGAAACCGCTTCGGTAATTAGCATCGACACCGAAGCGAAGGACACTACTACTACAACTACTTCTTCTTCAGCAGTACCTAAAAAGGCGCAGAAATCGTGGTTATTCGCAAAGCAGAGCAAGGCAAAATCAGTTGTGCCGCCAGCTCTACGCAACAGAAACAAGAAAAGATTGCAGCAGTGGATGTGGGTGGGTGTCACAAGCCTGGGTATTCTACTTCTGTTCTGGCTGGGAAATATCGGTGTTTTTCCGAGCATACATTACAAGCGACGAAGCCCTGTTATCTGATTTCGCCCTTTTTGCATGTTAGACTCGGATTAATTCGGCGGGTTTTGTTCTAGAGACGGATATATAGATAATATAGGGTGGTATACTACTTTGGTTCATTACTAAGATTATTTGGTCAGTGTTTTAGATTAGTAGTCTTTAATGGTTTTAGTTCATATACAAGATTGATATAGAGCTCTTTTTGTTTTTTGCATTAGTAGTGAACATGTATCCAAAACTAACATGCAAAACCAAAGGCCAAATTTGCTCATTTTTAGGCAAATTTGTTTGTTTTTTTTTAAATACTTCCTACACTTTAGGATTGGTTAGTATATGAATATTCATTTTTCTAGTGCATGAAATAAATATTACAATTTCTAAATTGTTATATTTTATATTCAATAATACGAATCATATGTATAAATTTGTTCAATATTATTTTATTTATAAATAAATAAATATTTACTATAGACAAATTGAATTACATAGATACTAAACGACATAATACTTTTCTGTTTAATAATGACAGAAAAATACAAGTTTTTTTTAATCAATTTAATCAAGGATCAAGGGGTTTTTGTGCATAACTCCCCAACCAAGCATCTTTATTATTCTAGGTTTAGGGGTTATATCTCTTTCACCAATAAGCAGTGTTCTAAAAATCAGCCGAGGCGGCCGATTAATCGGTCTCCGAGGCGGAGGTGGTCTAAAACCTTTACGGTTTTAGTGTAAAGGTTTGAAAAATCGGTTTTTTGCCTGTGAGGCGGTCCGAGGCGGTCTGAGGCGGTCAAACCTTTAAGGCGGGTCAAACTCGGTGGCAAAAATCGGTTTTTTTTTTTTTTTTTTTTTTTTTTTTTTAATTCAAAATAAAAGTTGGATTTTAATAAAATAAAATATGAGTTTATGCCTTATTTTGTTTATGTTAATTGTTATTGTTAAAGAACTAATGATATATGCCAAGAATGTTCAAGAATAAATGTAAATTCAAAAAAAATGTTTTTTTATTTATATTTTATAAGGATATTTATGTATTATGATCTTATAATTATTAAACTTTTATTATGTTATTAGGATATATACATGATGTAGATATAACTATGTTTAAATATCTTTTTATATATGTTTGGAGTATTAATAAATAATATTTAGAAATATATTATATTAAATTTTAAAAACCGATTTATTTCTGATTTATCACCGATTAATCACTGCCGCACCGATTAATCGTAAGTCGGTGCCTGACCGACTCGGACCCGATTATCGCCTTTTACAACCTTGCCAATAAGCTTATCCCTTTAATATCTTATATATAAAAGAAAGAAACGCTGGGTAACCCTAAAAAACCCTAGTGGTATTTATGTAATTATTTATTTTTAATATTTTTTCTCTACTAATTTCTAACTACCCTAATGGTATTTCTATAATTATTTATTTCTAATATTTTTTCTCTACTAAATTCTAACTACAATTTTTAATAATTATCAAAATTAAAACTAACTAAAGAATCATACCTTATAGCTACTTATGTAATTATTTATTTTTAATATTTTTTCTGTACTAATTTTTTAACTATAATTTTCAGTAATTATTGATCTCCTAATTTTTATCAATATATCTCAAATCTTAAGAGATAAAACTAGAAATTCAATATGAATTATACTAGATTATTAAATTTTACTATATTAGTGTACTATATTTTTTTATAATTTCACTATTTAAATTTTAAATGATATCTCGTGCATCGCACGAGGGAAAAAATGCTAGTTTATTATAAATAAAGGAAACATTCATGTATATGCCAATATTACCCCCAACCCTTTATACCCAATTCTTAATTGTAACCCCAATTTAATCAATTTTGTCCACAAAAATCCAATTTTGACCACAAAAAATCAATTTTGACTTTTTTTGGAGTATACTTTAATATGCTCCAACTTCATCCTTAACTTAATCTAATCTCAATTTGACCCCAAGTAATTAATTGTGTAACTTGTTATAGTACAAGTGAAATCCTTCAATCTTAAAAAAAAAATCTATATCTCAATTTTTATTTGAAATAATTAATCCCTAGAGATTGTGTATTCCTTCAAAGCCTTAGATTATATATAATTTTATCTTTTGGTGCATGCTTTATATAATACAAGAGATTTAACATGATTATTTTATTCATTTAAAAAATGAATATTATCTTGAATTAAGCCTAATACATTTATTCAATTCCATCACAAATCAAGTCAAGGAAGAGCCAAGTAATTTTTACCAATTACTTTTAGTGTGGAGAAAAAGCGAAATAATTCTAAGCTATGGAAATTGTTCCTACACATCTAAAATGTCCGTTGGCAAGCAATTTATTATTATTCGAAATAATCGACTATACCGAAAAAGAAGAATAACCGGAGCAACAATTTATTATTATTCGAAAATTATAAACAAAAATAGACTACATTGCGTTTGAATCCCAATCATATTTTTTGGACAATTTTCCTGAGGGTCCGTCTTGATAATAGATGCCGTCACCCATCACAGACCACGAGCATACGTGACTTTTGCACTCGTCTGAACTTTTTGAATTAAAAATTTCGAAAGTTTTAATTTTCGATCCCCACCGAAGTCGACAGGCAAATGCGGAATATTCAACAATAGGGCTCACACACAACTCCAACTCCGCCGTTTGTCCTTCTCTTAGTACTTTTGTGCCGAAATCCAAATCCGAACCGCAATGATAATGCAATGGAGCAGAATCACGAGGTAGACTATTGGTTATTCGGGCCGTATATTTCCTAGTACCCGAACAAGAACTCGTTGCTCGGAAAATATTGGTTGATAAGAAAATAACTAGTAACACATTTTTAATTGTGTTGGAAGAATTCATTTTTTCTTGTAAGAAATTGGAATTCTATGTGGTGCATTGTGTTGATGTTGATGATTAGTGTCCAATTTATAGGGTTTTTTTTTTTGAGTAATTAATTGAATTGGTTAATAATATTATTGAAATATCATCTATAATAAAATATGGGTCTATATTTATAAATGAATTATCAAATCTTGGTACAGATCAAGAAAGTAAAATAGAAAACAAGATTTCAAGAACTGAATTTGGCTCAAATAGTCAAGGTCAGATAATTACAAATTAATGTCATTAATCAAATGAAATCTTTAACAAATTGAGAAACTAATTAATGGAATTTTATTTCAATATATATATACACCAGATTATTACAATACAAATGATTAGTCGAATACATAGTAAGGTTGACCGGTTTGTTGATTGTTACAAAAAAATAAATAAATAAAGGAAAGTACATAGAGTCAAGAAAATAAAGATTAATTTTATTTTTACTTATCCTTTTATATAATTTGAAAACAAAATAGTTTTTAAATATTATATCTATTGGAGATGTGAATATTAAAGGGGCGATTTTGCTAAAGAAAATATGTGCACTAATACCCTTTTAAATAAGGATAATCATATTTTTCGCATTTGCTAAAAGTCTATCGGGCAGCTTAGCTAGAGAGCATAGTCAGAAAATAATCATTTTAAACTGAAAATACATTATTATCCTCTAACTCACCCATCCTCAAAACACTAAAAAAAGAAAGGCATTTCTTCCACTATTTCGCCTATCTCCACATGTCCCATGCCGGCAACCGCCTAATTTCCACCGCAACATTATTGAAAAAAAAAAATATTATTTTCATCTAATATGTCTATTTTCAATCCAAATTCTTCAACTAAAATGTCCATTATCAGTCTAAGTTGTTTATTTTCGGTTTAAGTTGTCTAACTAAATTGCCACAGGGACTTTTAACAAATTAAAAATATCCGGACGCACTGTTAGCTGTACAAAATATCTTTGAGGGAGTTTTAGCCATTTATTCCGATATTAAGTGATACATCTCATGCCTAAGGGCATCTCCAACCGGACGCCATAACGCTATTTTTTCATCTAATTTAAGTGTTTTTAGCTTCCCACCCGAAATTCCTATATCACCATTACACCTAAAATTATAGAGATTTGGTTTTAGCCTCCCACCGTGGTCAACCCCCATATCACCAAATACTCAAATCCTATTTTTCCACCAAATTTTTTGGTGAAGGAATTTTCATCTCCCACCGGTCCACCATTTTCCTATTTTTTCCACCAAATCCTATTTTTTCTACCAAATATAGATGTGAAAATAGGATATGCCGTAATTAACACCATTTTATTAAGTAGCATATAAAATGACCATTTTAACTAATTGCACCCGATTACCAACTTATTAGCATATTTATTGTAAATACATTGGTATTAATTATTAAATTAGTTTTTAAAATATAAATACATTTGTTATTATTAACAAAACATTAATTCTAACAATATGAATATGCTTATTTTTAATTATTTTTTATCTTTTGTTGGTATTAATGTTTATTAGTTCATTTCTTTACTTAACTAATACGCTAATTACTATTAATAAAATATAATAAGCAACAATAAAATAATTAACGAAACACACTTTAATTGATGAAATACAGGACGAGACATTTCAATTGAAAACATAAATTTTAAATTATATAGTTAAAAAAAGTTATTACTTAACATTGGATTAATAATTAATATTTATGAAATAAAATATAATAAGATTACGATTAACATTAGATTTATAATTTTGGGGCAGATACGGTGAGCTGCCATGGGAAACCAAACCAAATCCCATTTCCTATAAGTGGTGAAATGGTGAAATATTATTATTTTAATATTTGGTCTAAATTCTGGTGAAACTCATTGGAGACCAAAAACACTATTTCCACCAAAAATGGTGGAAGAGTAAAATGGTGTGCTACCGGTGGGAGATGAACCCATTTTTTCACCAAAAAAAATGGGATTTGGTGAAAAAATGGTGAAACCGGTCGGAGATGCTCTTAGAACATCTCTCACCCATCACTAAATCTCATATTTATCACCTAATTTAGGTGTTTTTAGTCTTCCAACCTAAATCTCTAAATCACCATTACACCTAAAATTATAGTGATTTAGTTTAGTCTCCCACCCTGGTCAAACTCTATATCACAATATCATTAAACCTTATATTTTCACGAATTTTTTTGTAAAGAAATTTTCATCTCCCACCCTTCTACCATTTTACCATTTTTTTTCCACAAAATCTTATTTTTTCTATCAAATATAAAAGTGAAATTAGGATTTGGTGTAATTAGCACCATTCTATAATTAACATATATAATTATTATATTAACTAATTTCATATAATTACCAGTGAAATATTTTTTTTGGCCAAAAACAAATGTTGTAATGTTTTTATGATTAATTTATGTTGTAACGTTTTTAGGCAATAATTTATGAAGTTATTGTTTATGTGTGGTTTTATTATATGTCTAAG